ATCTGCCCACCGTGTTTTAAAAGATTGAGAGGGAGAGTCAGTAGAGCAAGTATGGCTGCACAAGTAGACACAATGGAAGAGCCGTTTTGTGTCTGTGGCGCACCAAGCTCAAATTGCCCCAAATCTAGTAACATACAGGTTGGGCAAAAGTAGGTTTATAGTTGTGAGTACATGAAAGAGCTTATTCTTGTATTATTATTTATTAGTTATTGTACTATTTTCCATATGAACAACTGTAAGCCTTCTTGTTCCACTCTGTATTTGATGAACCAGGCTTCCTTACCAGACTAGAGGGAAGGATGAATATAATGACTAAAGCCTCATTCCTTCATGCTTTCCCTGAATAATTTAAAGAATACTTCTCACTATCCTACCATACATTTTGGGAAATCTCCTTTATTTCTGAGAAAGAAACCCCCCCTCAAACCACCACCACCACTTATTTAGTCATTTACTAATTCTGAAATAATTCTTAAACTTCCCCTATTTCAGCTTTAATGATTAAAAATAAATTTGTGGAGAACCAAGATGGCGGCATAGGTTAACGCCCGAGTTTGCTGCTTTGAACAACTACTTCAAAAGTGAAACCAAAAAACGGAAGGGACGTCACTCAGAACCACAGGAACGCTGGCTGAGTGGAAGTCCTACAACTAGGAGGAAAGAGAAACGCATACGGACACTCAGAGGAGGCGCAGTGCTGAAGTCAAATTCTGAGGTGCGGAGTGCGCGGAGCGGGCTGGCGGCGGGCGGAGGGCGCGGTTGGCATTTTCAATCGGGAGGGAGTCGCAGAATCTGAGCTCCAGATCCGGGCGAGTCTTTAGGGACCCAGACTCAAACGGGAGAAGCGGGACTGTCTGGCTTCGGTCAGAGCGAGTGTAGCTTTCTCTCCGAGCTTTGCAGCGGGTGCTGGGACTCAGAGAGGCAGAGCCCCTGGGGACAGGACTGAGAGCCGCCATAACTGCTCTCTCCGGCCCACCCTGTTGATCCTGTGCGACCCGCCCTGCCCAAGCCCTGCACAGAAGCATTTGCCAGATAGCCTCAGGCAAAGGCTAGATTAGCACCTCCCTAGAGGACAGAAGTTCTCTCACTGCTGACACAGCTGATTCTCATAGCCACTTGGCCTGGAGGTCAAACCCTCCCTGGAATTAGCTACAACAATCAAGATTTAACTATAAGACTGCGAACAAAGGCCACTAGGGGGTGCACCAAGGAAGCATAACAAAATGCGGAGACAAAGAAACAGGACAAAATTGTCAATGGAAGATATAGAGTTCAGAACCACACTTTTAAGGTCTCTCAAGAACTGTTTAGAAGCCGCCGATAAACTTAATGAGATCTACAAGAAAACTAATGAGACCCTCGATCTTATATTGGGGAACCAACTAGAAATTAAGCATACACGGACTGAAATAACGAATATTATACAGACTCCCGACAGCAGACCAGAGGAGCGCAAGAATCAAGTCAATGATTTGAAATGCGAGGAAGCAAAAAACACCCAACCGGAAAAGCAAAATGAAAAAAGAATCCAAAAATGCGAGGATAGTGTAAGGAGCCTCTGGGACAGCTTCAAGCATACCAACATCAGAATTATAGGGGTGCCAGAAGATGAGAGAGAGCAAGATATTGAAAACCTATTTGAAGAAATAATGACAGAAAACTTCCCCCACCTGGTGAAAGAAATGGACTTACAGGTCCAAGAAGCGCGGAGAACCCCAAACAAAAGGAATCCAAAGAGGACCACACCAAGACACATCATAATTAAAATGCCAAGAGCAAAAGATAAAGAGAGAATCTTAAAAGCAGCAAGAGAAAGAAACTCAGTTACCTACAAGGGAGTACCCATACGACTGTCAGCTGATTTCTCAACAGAAACTTTGCAGGCCAGAAGGGAGTGGCAAGAAATATTCAAAGTGATGAATACCAAGAACCTACAACCAAGATTACTTTATCCAGCAAAGCTATCATTCAGAATTGAAGGTCAGATAAAGAGCTTCACAGATAAGGAAAAGCTAAAGGAGTTCATCACCACCAAACCAGGATTATATGAAATGCTGAAAGGTATCCTTTAAGAAGAGGAAGAGGAAGAAAAAGGTAAAGATACAAATTATCAACAACAAATATGCATCTATCAACAAGTGAATCTAAGAATCAAGTGAATAAATAATCTGATGAACAGAATGAACTGTTGATTATAATAGAATCAGGGACATAGAAAGGGAATGGACTGACTATTCCTGGGGGGGAAAGGGGTGTGGGAGATGCGGGATGAGACTGGACAAAAATCGTGCACCTATGGATGAGGACAGTGGGTGGGGAGTGAGGGCGGAGGGTGGGGCGGGAACTGGGAGGAGGGGAGTTATGGGGGGAAAAAAAAGAGGAACAAATGTAATAATCTGAACAATAAAGATTTAATTAAAAACAAAAACAAAAAATAAATAAATAAATAAATAAATTTGTTTTTGATGAAGTGGTCTTCAAAATGTGACCACTTGTTTTCTGGGTCAATATTCTAGGTTGATATTTTAAAACACTGAAAAAAGCCTTATGTCGAGATGTGGGCAATGGCCATCAGAGTGGGTGCTTTTCTGAGAGTCTGTGCAGGAGCTGGCAATGCCCCCCTTTGCCTTGTATTGACCTTCCAGCTGCTGGAGAAGGCCCGCTCACCTCAGAGTCCCCTTCTCTCTATACTTGTGTCCAATCTATACCAAGTTATCCCTTGGTTGCTTTCCAAGGTTTTGAATAATTGTTCAATTGAGTTTTATAATTGTTCTCTGTGGGAGGGGTGGTTTGTAACAAGCTATTCAATCATGGCCAAAATCATATTTCCCTCCTGTGAAATATAATTTTTATTAAATTGTTACAGTTTATTTTGTTGCTTCATTCCTCTCATAATGCTTTCTAATTTTCATTTTGGTTGCTTTCCTGTCCCATGGCCTTTTGTAAAGAACCATCTTTTCTGCATGCTCAGATTCTGTCTCACCTTTGACTACTTATTCTGTTTTTTAAAATATTTGTATTGATTTAAGAGAGGAAGGGAGAGGAAAAGAGGGATAAAAACATCAATGATGACATTTTTCAGTCCTTAATAATGCAATTTAAAGTGTGCTTTCCATAATACCTACACAATTATTTTTCTTGAGGACAATCTATACTAATAAAAGGGTAATATGCTAATTAGACTGGACATCCTTCCGGACAAAGCTATGGTGGCAGGGCCAAGGCAGAGGCAGTTAGGGGTGATCAGGCTGGCAGGGGAGAGCAGTTAGGGGGATCAGGGCAGCCGGGGAGAGCAGTTAGGGAGATCAGTCTGGCAGGGGAGAGCAGTTAGGGGGATCAGGCCGGCAGGCAGGCAAGCGGTTAGGAGCCAGTGGTCCTGTGGGATCGGGTCTAAACCAGCAGTCAGACATCACCTGAGGGGTCCTGGATTATTGATGGTGCAGGCTGGGCTGAGGGACACCCTCCTCCCATGCATGGATTTTGTGCACTGGGCCTCTAGTAATATATAAAATGTATTTTTTATTCTTAGCAATTCCTGACACAGGTGTCTTCATCTTCCCCCCTCTAAATAGTGTCAGCTCTATTTGGAAGGTATTAATGGGCAAATATGGGAAAAAAAATCCTAATCATGTGTAAAGTATTTCCAAAGTGGTTCATTTATAAAACACATGTAATGTAATGTTTATGTAACTTTACTTATTTAGTCACCTCTTCTTTTCATGTCATAAAACAAGTTTGTTACAGAATAGTCTGTGAAAATTAACTACCTAAAATTTAAAGCTGTGTCAAAGACTTGAGAAGGCAAATTACCTATTATTAATTTTTCAAATTTTTACTCTATCCTAAAACACTAAGCTTATCAACATATTTTTTAAATTAAAATGTATGTGACTAAGAAATGTTCTCAGATGAGAAAACAAGCTATCCATGGAGTGTATAAGGCCAGTTTGAGTATTTGCTATTTTTGAAATAATCCTTGGTTATGTTTGGATCACTCAGTTTTATAGTTCCAATGCCAAATACAGTGTCTGGCACAAAGAGAGAACTCTAAAGTGAAAATAATGTGAATTTGAATTAGCTTTTTTATAAAATCATTTTATTTCAAATTACTTTTTAAAAATGACAGAAACCATCCTTTTGTCCACAAGCTTATTTGACCATAATAAATTATGTTTTTCCAAAGTCAGGTGTAGCATAAAATCATATAATCACTGTATATGATTTTTGTGAACATGTTCTAAAATGAAGGGAAGTGTTGCCAGGGTTCAGAAAACACCAGAGTCTCGGTGTTTTCCAGACAATCCAGTTACTAGGAAGTTCCACATTTCAGGTTTTATAAACTCATTTTAGATTTTAAAAAGTTTCAGACAAAATATGCTTTAAAGAAGATTTTTGTCCCCAAAGAATCTAAATTGCAAGTTAGGCAGAGACTTGTTTTTATCCTGTATGTATTTTAGAAAACTGAACATTGGTATTAAGTGTGGGAGAAACTGCAAAGCTTCAATTATTTGAAAAAACAAATAGGAAATTAAGAAGGCATTGGAAATTACCATAAAAATAAAAAAAAAAAGACAGGCCGAAACCGGTTTGGCTCAGTGGATAGAGCATCGGCCTGCGGACTGAAAGGTCCCAGGTTCGATTCCGGTCAGGGGCATGTACCTGGGTTGCGGGCATATCCCCAGTAGGAGATGTGCAGGAGGCAGCTGATCGATGTTTCTAACTCTCTATCTCTCTCCCTTCTTCTCTGTAAAAAATCAATAAAATATATTAAAAAAAACAACATAGACAGATACTAAGTGGGAAGTAATCATCACATTTTATTCACCCATCACTAAATTTTTAAAATTTAATGTGAAAATGCCTGAAGATGACAAGGGCTTTGTTAAATGTAACATCCTCCTACCTGGCAAATGATTACAGTTGCTGCTCTAGAGTCAAGTGTTTAATTTTGCACTTGACCTTAATTCCATGTTAATTTTGAAGTCCCTGGAGTAATCTTGTTAATCTATATCTGCTTCCTCAGAAAATAAGTTAATTGTCGATGAATCACTCCTGAAGACTTTGCCACTTACAATAAGTTTTATTGCCTTCCGAAACCATGGGTAAAAGAAAGCATATATCAAGGGGTTCATAGCTGAATTATAATAAACACACCACACTAAAATCTCATACACATAAGGAGGAGTTATAAAATTCATATAAGCATCAATCACAGCATCAATGATGTATGGCAGCCAAGAGACAAGAAATGCTGCCATAGCAATACCCAACGTTTTAGCAGCTTTTCTCTCCCTCTTTGCTACTCTTTCCTTGTAACTCTCTGAGGAGGACTGAGCTTGGCTGGCTGTACTTTCAATCTTCCTAGCCTGATGTTTAGCTACCAAAAATATCTTACCATATATAATCACCATGGCCACAGTGGGTATAAAGAATAGAAGAAAACAAAGTAGAACCCAATTTTGATTCAATGGAGCCTGACAGCCTCCTATACAAGTTAGAGCAACTACTAGTTCTTCAATTCCTTCTTCATTGGCCCCAGTGTAAAAAACAGAAAAACTATAGGTGACAGAAAAGAACCAAGAGAGAACAATGCATATTCCTGACACCGAGACAGTGAACTTGGTTGGATAGGTCAGAGGATCCGTAACAGCGATGTATCTATCAATGGAGATACAGCATACATGAAGTAAAGAAGCAAAACAGAAGGAAGTATCGAAGCATGTATGAAATTTACAGTAACTCTCCCCAAAGTACCAGCAGCTCTCCACAGACCTCACTGTGCTGAAGGGCATCACCGTCACTCCCACCAGGAAGTCAGCACAGGCCAGGGATGCAATCAGAAAGTTGGTAGGTGTGTGCAGCTGTTTGAAGTGCAGGATAGCGGTAATGACCAGTAAGTTCCCAAACACGGCCAGCACAGCCCCCAAACCAAGGAAGACGTACAGAATGGCTCGAGGTCCTGGCGAGTAAGGCGTCTTAACACAGGAGCCGTTCACATGCTCGTAGCAGAGTTCCACTGCTTCAGCGTGGGAGAAGTTGTTCACCATGCCTTCTCCTGGGAGTTATTTCAAAGTTCTCAGATTTTCTGTTTCAGCAATTTAAAACAAGGAGATGACAACTTGAAACACTGTGGCAAAGAAAAAAATATAGTTAAAATGAAAGTTAGGAACTTTTCTACCTTTTTTTTTTTTCTTTTGCATATTAACTATAACCTCTTAGTCTTTCCAAAAAGCACTTATTCCCAAATTTTTAATATATTTAGAGTGGAAACTTGTTGCAGAATGCCATTAAACTTATAGTCAAATTTACTACTAAATAATTGGCTGGCAGTATACTTAGTCCAATGTTATATATTATCATATATTTTATAGAATGTAATTTGATAATCATTAGAAAATCCCTTCATTGTGTTTGCCTTTTGAAATCTCACCTATAACCACCTGAGTTGAGAAATAATTAGGGGACCAATAGCTGAGTTTTATTTACTAAGTTATCTCCCCTGAGCCACCGCTTCACAATAATTAAACCGTTCTTTGTTTTTTTTTCAAGAAGAAGTAATTTGCATCTCCTTCAAATTGTAACCTCAAATATCCCTATAGTATAGAGTGTGAAGGCTGAAGAAACATTTACTTATAATAGCTTGCTAAACTTACTTGCTGAATATATTTCTTTCATTGCTTATATTCCCAGAGTTTGAGTTTTGTTTTGTTTTTTACTTTTATCGCCATTCATAGTTTAGACAGCTGGAGATGATTTGGAGAACTAATCTCATCAAGTTGATACTAATATAATCAGTGTGTAAGTATTTTCTGGGCTAATAGACAGTTTTAGATGTCTAAAATCAGTAAGATTGATTAAAATAAGCAGCAACTCACCTAGTCACTCACCTTCCCATACTTAAAATGCAAAACAGTATGGTTTGAAACCTTTCACCGAGGAGTAGGCAACACCTGGGATGATCTGGAGGGGTGTATGTAGATTAGTCATGTCTCTGGAAGGAATGGATTTATGCTAAGTCATCCAAGGTGCAACTAGAGACCAAACAATATTGAATAATTAATTTTTAAAATATATTTTATTGATTTTTTTTTTACAGAGAGGAAGGGAGAGGGATAGAGAGTTAGAAACATCAATGAGAGAGAAACATCGATCAGCTGCCTCCTGCACACCTCCTACTGGGAGGTACATGCCCTTGACCGGAATCTAGCCTGGGACCTTTCAGTCCACAGGCTGACGCTCTATCCACTGAACCAAACCGGTCAGGGCAATAATTAATTTTTACTTTATTTAACCATTCATCTAAATTTAGTCTTTGAGCTAGAGACTGGACTATTTTTATTACCATTTATCTCATAGTCTGGCCTCTGTTGAAAGGGTAGTATCCTAGAAGAACGTATGTACATACAGCTGTGTATGTGGACCTTTTATCTATATACCTGTATTCTCTAGGGATAGGCTTCCCCAGTCTGTGAATTTTTAATTCATCCATTTTTACTTTTACTTCCCAGTTTATATTTATATTATATTATATTTATATTACCTCACTGGTCTGACTGCATAAATCTAAGTCTCTTCATACAAAGTATCTTCCAGTTACTCTTGGGAGGCCTCGGATGGGTGCATCCATGTGCTCACAAGACAGTCTACCCAATAAAATCACCATGTGACACGCCCCACCCCTCCGAATTCTTCTGCCTCAGCTGTCCTAATCAAGTCTACCACATCTTTCAAGCTGGCTGAAGGAATTTCACCACTGCCACCATGGCTGGGACCTTGACTGAGAGTCTGAGTGTCTGTGTAAAAGATGCTGTCTCTTCAGCACTCCCCACCTCACTGGTGCCCAAGTGATGCTGCTGCTGTGCTAAGGGAGAGTGATGCTTCCTCAGGTCTCTATACTCAGGCCCTAAAAGAGCCGCCTTCAATGCTATAGAGTGTCTGAACGCAACCCCCGCCCCCCAGAAGCAAAGATACTTGAGGAGGAATGCGCACTCCTGAGACGCACATTTGGTGTTTAATAGCTTCCACCAGTACATGAAACTAGGGCTTCTCAAAGAAGTGACTCAGTCAAGCAATGGGACAGAGGAGACACAGGAAGAAACTGAAACATATTGAAAAGGAATTTTTGTACTGGAACCTGGATTCTTTGTCCATCAGAGTCGAAGAATGAATCCACAGACAGAAGGTAGTATAGCAAAGGTGGAGATTTATTGAAGAACAAGTACAGACTTCCATGTGGGGAGGGGGAAAGGGTCCCACCGACTTCCTGTTTCCATGGTTTATAAAGGCTGCAGTTCATGTACTCTGATATCCCTCTGATTGGTTAATATTTCCTTTCGAATTGGTTACTATAGTGACTCCTGAGGCCCTCCTCCCTCATTGTCCTCCTATTCCCTCTGGGCTATCTTCCTCCTTCTTTATATATAGACCTTTTTGGCTATTTCCAGTTCGTTTGTCTTATGGAAATATTATGTGCTGCTCCCTTGTCTTATGGAAATATAACTGCACCTGGCTTCCTTGTGTTATGGAAATGTATCTTCTCCCAGTCTGTAGCCCTGTGTTTTTCCATGGGACTCCAATTCTAAAAATTCCCTAAGCCTGCCTATATTCCCCTAAAATTCCTGTTTCAATATTTTTATATCAGAAACTAAGAAATGTAAAAAGAAGTTGGAGCATTTCACAAGGACACTGTTGCAGCATGAATGGGCTCCCACTGGCTAAATATGGGACAACTTAAATACCAACATAATTAGTGAAAGTAAAAATTTATAAGCCATTTGGGGAAAATGGGAATCCATGAGCTAAAATAGAGAGACATACAAACATACGTACATACATATGCACATGCAGGAGGGCTTTTCCTTAAAGTAAAATAATTTCTAAAAGATACATGTTGAGAGAGTGCTAGAGCTAAAACACCATAATTTTATTTTTTTAAGGTTTTTATTGCTTTTTAGAAAGAAAGGGAGAGGGAAGGAGAGAGAGAGAGAGAGAGAGAGAGAGAGAGAGAGAGAGAGAGAGAGAGAGATCAATGCCAGACAGAAACAACCATCAGCTGCTTCCTGTGTGCCCCCTACTGGGGATCAAGCACGCAACCTGGGCAAGTGCCCTGACTGGGGATCAAACTAGCAACATTTCAGTACATGAGACACACCCGCCAGGGTAAAAACATCATTATTTTAAAGCCATCACAATTAATACTGATTCAGGCAAGAACTATCAATGGTAAATCTGCTGCAGGGGAGCGGAGGACATTGATGAAATGAGGCATTTACATGGTAGGTAAAGGTAGGAAGGGGATTGGAGCATCTTTATTACGGAACTATTTCAAAGGTAATGTCTCCGCTTTGTGATTCTCTTATTTTTCCATACTCTGCTGCCCCTTAGTGGTCACTCTGAACACTACTGGGCTGACCAAACAAGGAGACACAAAAGCTAAACAGGTAAATGTTTAGAAGTGACTGTTTAAAAATGACCCCCCCCCCCGCCCCCTCCCCCCCACACACACAAAAAGAGGGGAGGGGAGGGCCTCCCAACAAACACTTTGAAAGCGTGCCAGTTAGTTATCTATTCGCTCCCTTCCGAGGCACCCCTCCAGAAAAACAACTCAAAGAAAGGTTTCTGAACTTTTGCCTTTGTTAGAATCACATGAGGGACTTGTTTAAGGTTTCCAGGCCCTACACCCGGAAGTTCTAATCTCTAGGACTGGAGTGAAATCGGAAATATGCTTCTTAAATCAAGCACCTCTTATGATCGTGGCATTCCACAGAAGACTTTTTGAGAAATGCTGCTCCAGGGGAAGTAGCACTATTAAAAGGGAAGTGCTCTAAACTTGGCGTCAGAAAACCCATTCATTCCTTTCACACTTGCTAAGCACCTTCTGGCCAGGCATCCCATGCTAGGTGCAAAGTGCTAGGTGCAAAGAACGTGATGAAAGTCGCAGTCCCTAGCCTGAACAGCTTCATATCCTACTTTGGGTAAGCAAGCAGACAAGTCAATGCTCTGAGATAAGAACTCTAGAAAGAGGGAGGGCCATCCCTAGGGAGTGGAGGTGGGGGGTGGGGCAAGAGCTTGGGGAGAGCCAGGTTGATGGCATCTCTTGTAGAAAGTTCTCTTATCAAAGAGACTCTGAAGAGAGTAAGGACACATAGGATTCAAGTTTCTGATTTCTGTGACCCTGCACACATCTCCAAACTCTCTGAGCCTCCATTTGTTAATCATATAAGAAAAAGAAAGGCTGTGTACATGAGGATTTATAATTGTTTGGCTGTTTCTGGGGCTTTTCGCCTTCACTTAACATTGTGCATACAGTTTGCAGGGGTTACAGTGTTACAGGAGTAACAGGTAAAATAACTGACCCCAAGATGCCATTCACTGACTCCAAATAACTCCCACCCAATGTTTCGTGGTCCTGTGGGGGAGGAACAAACGTTCCTCCACCCTCAAGGTTCTTCTGGCTGGTCTAGTAATCAAATAGACATGAGGCAGATTAGCAAGAGAAAACAAACAAATTTAATACATACATATGTATGGGAACCCCACACACACATGAGCTAGTCAGAGACCCCACATGCCCTAGAGGTTCAGAGATAGGAAGATTGAGGTACAGTATATATGACATCATGAGCCAGGGATGAGGCAATGCACCTTGGGGGCTTCACTGCAGAATGATAAGAAGAGCAGGTGTTTAGTGAATAAAAACTTGCCCTTGTCATACAGGTGGGACAAAAAAGTTATCGCTGATAATCTCTTATTATGGGCAAAGCCCCTAAGTCAACTTCTTTTAGGTAGTTAAAGGGAGGGGCAGACGTTTCTCTTGAGCCTGAAACTAGAATTGCCTTTAGCTCAAAACAATCCACCTACCACAGAAGCACATCTTGGGGTGACTCGTTTTGAACTCCTGCCGTCTTACATACAAGGTGGGGCAAAAGGAGGTTTACAGTTGTGAATACAAAAAAAGCAGAGTTTATTCTTGTATTATTTATTAACTAGTGGCCTGGTGCACGAAATTCGTGCATGGTGGTGGTGGGGGTGGGGTTTGTCCCTCAGC